AACTTGCACTGACAAGGGGCAGGCTTGCTTTCTAATTAATGAGAGAGTTCAGCTGCATGGTGTCTTGGCTTTACATGCCTTTTTTACACCTCCCTTTCTTCATGTGTTCAATACTTTTTCCCTGTGCCATTCCACATTATTACAAATAACTTCATTTCTGGACATTTATGGTTTGATTTCTTTGTATATATGGATCACTTGGGTTGTTACCGACATCTGGTGAAAATTTCTTGTCATTAGCACCTCTAGTAAAATATTTACTGAGAAAAATGGTGACGTGCTCAATACTTCTTTTACCCACTGTATGTATTTTTATCCAGTTTTATCAGTTGCATGTTATTTAGTTGAAATGATTTCCTGCAATATTTGGTTAATGACAGAAGAAAAGCAGTGTAAGGCTTCTGTCAGTAGCTGAGCAGAACCCTCAGGTGGTGGTCTGTTTATAATGTGTCTGTGTGACCCCTCTGTGTTGTCCTCAATCTGTACACCATCTCCAGCCAACTGTCAGACCACACTGTGAACAATGCTAACGGCCTTATAAGAAGCCCAGTGTCCGTAGAGGTCCAAAGCAAAGCAACAACAGCGGACAGGTCCACTCAGACAGAACCCACCGTTTTGCTGCAAGCTGTGGACCAGAACATCCAGAGCCTGCAGCTGGAGGACGCTCTCCCTCCAAGTCTTGAGGGGGCCCGGGCCAAGCTCCATCGTGTCCCTGGTGTCGAAGAGGAACAGGACAAAGAGGAGGAAGGAGTAGGAGGTCTACCAAAGGAAGGGACTTGGGGTTCTCCAGTGGAGGAGCCCATCCAGCCCTCCTCAGTCAGAAGCCTTCAGAGGGAGGACTTCCAGGATGGGAGCTCCTCGCTGGACTGTCCAGGCTCTGCTCCGTCCTCGCTCAAAGGTTCAGACCCCAGCCTGAACTCGCGCTCCGGACCCCTGTCCCCCATCCAGGAAGGACAGAAGATGCTGTGCGTGAGCTCGTCTCACTGTTGCTGTGTGCCTAACATCAATAATCCTTTCCTCTGTTTGGCTGCATGGCTTCAGACTGAATCAACCTTAACCCAGTCTCTCTGATTCAAACTGCAAAGCCCAGTTGTTGTGTGAAGATCTGTCAGCTGTCATCACAGCCTGTTAGAGCAGGAAACAGCTCTCTGCTGCATGTCTGTCCATCTCTTTGAGTTGGTCACACATGTGATGTAGTAGAGCCTAATCATGACACTCGGTCCCAAAGAGACGTGTGTGTAGTTAGTTTAACACAGAACAGGAGGGAACATGTCATGTTTCCTAACTAACCTAAAACAGGAGAGCTTTAGTCTGCTGTAGGTGTGTGTGTGTGTGTGTGTGTGGGGGGGGGGGGGGGTTGTTTTTGGTGACATTTGGGGGCAATTTTAAGACAAAAGGCCTATTTGGGGACAACTGGTGCATTTGGGGACAAAATTCGAGTCCCCATTTGGTTTAAATGCCATTGGTGGGTTGGTGGTTGGGTTTAGGACTAAGGTATGAATTGAGTTTAGGTTGGTTTTAGGGTCAGGTAAGCATTAGGGTTTGTGGTCAGGGTTAGGCTGTAGAAATGTAATGGAAGTTAATGGAATGTCCCCAAATGGATATCTGTGCAAACCTGTGTGTGTGTGTGTGAGAACACAGTTAATGAGCTGCTGAGACTTAACAGATGGTACTTCAAATAAAAACTCTCATCGTGCTTCAACTGGGTTTTGCAGAAACACTCTAACTTTATTTTTAAAGCAGATCTTTTAAAGGRGACCTATTATGCAAAATTCACTTTTTAAAGCTTTTTTTACTCAACTTTGGGTGTGTACTTCTTTAAAAAACAGTCCTAGGACCAAAAAATGCACCCAGGGGCATATTTACTGTAAGTAAATGCATTTTTAATGTATATTAATGACAAGTTTTATACTTCCTACATTTTGTGATGTCACAAGCTGTACGACAACCCACTGCATCCTGCGTTCAGCCCCTCACCTAGCAACCCCCGGGTGAAGCTCCACCTCCAGTATAAAAAGCCGTCACGTTTGTTGCTGCACAATGCACAGCTCATTTCACAACAAGTCTTCCAACAGGGCAATGGGTAGATTGTTGGACCAGTGAGTGGGAGACCAGGGTTCGAGACTGATACGGACACAGTTTAATTATTTATTTTCATTCGTTATGAACACATTTTCTCATATATCTCTATTGTTTTTAGCTTTAGCCTATTTGTTCGAGTTTCTGAGGTATTTTGACCGCTGCTGCTCCAATTACCTGTCGTGGTAACAGCATGCAGAGTGAGCGCAGAGCTCCGACAGAGGAGGAGGGGGAGAAAAAAAAGCTGCGACCACGACTCTGCCTCTGGGTCTCACTCAGGGTCTCATATATACGGTTGAACAACGGAGCTTCTGCTATTTCTAGCTAGCCATGCTAAGGTAAACGCTGGCTTTGGAGGACGGAGTTTGGAGGGCGTTACCAACAGAGCTCATTAACATAAACAGCTCTTCTGAACGGAAGTCAGAGCAGGCAGAACTAGACAATGGGAAATTTTATTATCTGAGAATTATTTTGTGCATTAAATTGAATGAACATGGTCTGGATAGCCCACAGACATACCACAAAATTTTTTAGGACCCATAATTGGTCTCCTTTAAACTCTGAATGAATGTAAACACACTCATCTTCCAACCAATCACTGTTGGATGAAGTGCTTTAGCCTTTCCTACAGATCCTCTGAAGGGCTGAATTTTCAGCAGCTTTGTGGGGCACACAGAGCTGGAGAACAGCTACTTTTGTTTTCTGGGCTTGGTTCTTGTACATGCATGATTTCTTTTGTCTCACTTCCGTGTTGCGGCTTGGAAGAGATTATGCGCTGATGAAAACCTGGGAAAAAGTAAGTTTGCTCTGTTTAACATTTTACATATCAGCACAAAATAATACTGGTTTGGTTTTAAAATGATTCAAACTCCGTCTCAAGTGAAGAAAAACACAGATTCCACCATGATGATGTTTATTAAACACAAATAAATCCAAGATGGAAAAGTTTGGTGTGAAACCTGAATCCAGCAGCTTCTACAACCATTTTAGTAGCRATCAGTAAAAGTTGGCACTAGCAGGCCAAACGGTGGCCCTCCAACGCTGAACAGGCCTGATCTCCTCTGGTCTCAGAAGCTAAGCAGGGTCCAGCCTAGTTAGTACCTGGATGGGAACACCAGGTGTAAAACCAGTGTAGGGTTGTGCCCACATGACCAGAACAGGTCACAGGTCACCTTCTGGAGGATAACCAGAAGTAAACGTTGGTGTTTGAGTCTCTAACAGGGCTGTGCAGGAAGTAGTTGAAGTCTGGACCCTGACTGGACCATGGCAGCACTTTGGTTCTTCTCTTTCACACTTGTTCTGTTTTAGATCAGCTGCTGGGTTTGGATCCTGGTTCTGTTGGTCCAAACTCCAGCTGGACTCACATGTGGCTCTAGAACCCTCTGGTGTACAGAGGACTTCATGGTCCACTCAGGGACTGTGAGGAGCTGAACCATCAGCCCTCCACCACTGTGCTGACAGCTGCAGTGCATTCTGGGTAAATAACTGATCTGGTCTGGTTTTATTCCAGACTTCTTCTTGTCATGTTTATTTTAAAAAGAAGAGCTTTTCTCTTACAACACGTCCAAATAAGCCATGACCTTTGACTTTTAACCTGCTCCCTGAGGCCTGTAGAGTCTGAGATGCRCACTGCTCAGTCTGACCTTCAGGGTCAGCAGCTCCTGATCCTGGATCTCTGAGATCCTGCAGAATAAGCAGGACTGGAACTGGTTTTTACTCCCAACATTTAGGCTTCATTTCATTTAATATTTTAAATTGATGAAATCTGTTGTGTTTTGGTTCTCTTGATGGTGGACTTGGATCATTTAGAACTGATAAAGACCAGATCAGTTTTATTATAACTCTAAAAACTGAAAAAGGACTTTTCTGAAGTTCCTCTGAAACCTGAACCAGTCACTGTGCTCCTCATTCAACAGGACTGTAGTTTGATGAGGAGCACAGCAGTGTCACATCATGTAGTTTACACTAACCCTAAAGCTTAGATTAATGAAGTGAACTGATCCACTTCCTTAAAAGCCTTATGTTTAATCCCTGTTATTTATTGACTTTTACACAAGATAAGACGTGACTTTCAGTAAGTTTCTTTTAATAATAAACTTGTTAGTTGTGTGGCTTAACTACAGTCAATGGGCCTCATGCAAGAATCGTTCCTACCCGCACAGTTTTGTTCTTAAAGAGTAACTTACCCCAAAATTAACTTTTTTTAGCTGATAAACT